CAAAAATTATACGTTTCGACAGAATATGTATAACTTTTTCTTTTGTTGTCAAATAGCATCGTTGTTGCTCTTTTCTAGGAAGTCTTTTTACTGGTCGGTGTTGAATTTCTTACCCAAACCTATCTGTGTTTTGCCTATGATCACAACTGTAGTTACGATAATAGGCATATTGGTAGTCTGTTCAACCGCACCGAAATCTTCAGGTAGGTACTTGTTGGTTCGTATTCTTCGTATTCAACACAATAAAAACTCGTAGTTAATTCGGTTCTGTTTTATCAGCATTCTCAGTTTTGGTTAAAAAAATTTGAATTATGATCGTATTTGATATAGACATATTCGAAGCAAATCATCAAGCGAGGGCAGAATGATAATCATTAAACTTGATTCAGTTCTCCACTTCAAACTAGGAATGACGAATGCGAATCAATCAAGGTGATTATCACCAGTAGATCTGATACTTTGTCCATAGGTCGAATCCTTCTAAGGAACAAGGATAATAATTTTTTCTAAGATGAAGATTATTCCATTGTCTATATTTTTTCTTCATATTTCAATCTATACTTTTACAAACTGATGCTGCACATTGTTACTTATTGCAGAAAAATCAACTTTATCCTATTCAATGTTCTTGAATCACTTCTCGTATAGTTTTTGGTAATAATTTTTCACATCTCTGAATGAAGACAGCAGTTTATCCTGGATTTTTCTCTCTATGTCGTCGATATGTTCTTGAATATAAGAGAAATGCGAAAGAAGAAGAAAAAATACAAGTGATTTTCTCATAGAATGTGACGAAAGAAAATATGCCTTCTCCACGAGACACATCTTCTTTACATTTTCTCTCTTTCTGCTGCCTGAGAACGAGAGCAAGCACTATCTATGTTCCATTTATATCCTCTTTCGTTCTACTATCATGTCTGAATGAGTATATGTACCATATTCTAGTATGTTCAGGTACATTCGTTTTCTTTTCCAATTTTTCTATTTATTGCATGTATGTTCTCTCATATTTTCTACTGATTTATTTCCGTTATAGCTCTTTGAAGCTATAAAACTTTGTATGTGCATCATAAAATAATACTTTTATCTGACTAATTATTAATCAGTAGTTGATCATTTTCACCAAGTGGACAAATAGTAAGAACATTTCTATTTTAACATCGTTCACATGTCTCGATAATAAAAATGTGTAATAATCATGATATCTTGAAATTATTACTAAACCTGACATCAGTCAAATTGTTCTGCAATTCACTATCTTCAGTCAGTTCTGGCAAAGAAACATTGTATTTAATCTCTATAAATGTTTGTACTAGATTTTGAAAAGTATATCTCATATATTTGAAACGAAAACCATATTGGATCATGATGATGAATAGGAAGAGCAAGATTTCGAAAATTTCTTCACATTAGCATTAACATACCCTCATTTAGGTGAATGTTTCTCTTCTACAAAACTCACACACGTATACCTATATCCTACATTTTCAATCTAGGATAAACTACGCCAGACTCAAAAATATTTTTTAAAAATTGACCTTGGTCAATTTTCGAATGTTAAAGATACTTGTTTCACATTTCAAACAAACAGATGTCATGAAAGGAGTTGCATTGATGGGCTGACGATTCATTGTTCTTTCTGCAACAAGAACTTGATTCACTCTTGTTTCCAAATTATTATCATCATGAAACTGATCAATTATTTTCTTGATCTTTTATTTTACTCTCATTCTTCGTATCATTTTAATTTCCCTATTAAGGAAAGCGTTAGCTAAAGATCTTCTTTTTTTATACGATAAGTAGTGACGTGTAAGATGATTTTGTAAGAAATTAGCTCGTGAAAATCTTCCTTTATTGAGGTATAGGTAATTGTACGAATCGTTTCGGAGCTTTTTTTCTACTCTATGAGTTCTACTAACGAGAAAACTATGAGCTCAAACAACAGGTATTTATGAGTATGACATTTGCATTACTACGGTTACCAGTATGTGGTAAATAGTACTTGTCAGTAAGAGAATATTGGTAAGTTTGATTATTGTCTCAAAGAGAGCCTATTTTATTGGAAAATAACAATTTCTTTTCTATAAGCTTTGATCCAAAGTCTTCGAAATCGTGAAATTCAGAAGAGAGGCACATAAGAAAGCGAGTCTGTCCACATCAGAATTTTCTAAACAAGCCTATAATGAGTGAGGCAAATTAAATGGCTACACTTTGTATCTCAATTTTCAGTCACTTAATACCAAGTTACACTTGTTTTTAAAATGGGCAACATTTTGAGCGACTGAATTTCAACCATGAGAAAATTGATCGCACAGAAAATTTTGTTGCTTTCGAAACCAAATACAATAAGCTTTACTGTGTGAATTTTAGGACTTTTCATGCTGCATCTAGTGATATATTTTGTTTTTTTTTAAGTAAAAACTATCAGATGATAAAAGGATGAAATAACAAATAACAAATTCATTTTGTACAAAGAAAACCTTGTTTTCGCTTGGTCGAAATTAGATCGCTCGAAATTCTGTGCATTTTGAAAGGAAAAAGTGCAACGGTTAGAAATGCTGGTCTATATAAGTTGTAGGGTTTTTCACGTTACATCTTGAGGTATATTTTGTCTTTTTAATACAACGTATTAAGTGAGTGAAAATGCAAAGTTTAATCATTTATCCTGCATCACCCGTTATTTCGACGCAGAATGAGACAGGAAATTATTTGACGCCGCATTAACACTATTTAGAAAGCCAATCAATGGTTCCTAATCCAGATTAATATATCATATCCTCACTGCAACCAAACGACTATATCCAACAATAAGTGAACCATCCAGAGGTAGTAATTATAAGCTGAATTTACGGTGAATTAATAGTGTTTCTATCGATATTTTATGTATGTTGTGAAGGTTCAGGCTCCTAAATTGCTTTTTAAGTGGCTTTAAGATGGACTTTCTTTTGAAGAGTTTGATGTAGTTTTTGATGGACTAACCGTTGGTGTAGTTTTCTTCTAGTTATTTTATTAGCTGAAGCTTTTTAAGGTTTGATCGTGCCCAAAACTGCAACCATATGTACTGCCATTGCAGAAGAACTTATGGCATTCATATTAACAAAACAGAAGCCGAATATGTAATTTTCTGGCATCAATCTAAGATGATTAGTGGAGGTTTCTCATCTGTATAATTATGATATCCGAGATATCATGGTGCCAGCGGGTAATCCGTCAAAAATTGCATCAAACTTAGGAGAGGACAGTCCATCGTAAAGCTGTTTCTAAAGCAATAACGAAGCCAGAACCTTCCTGACATACCTGAAATATCGATATAAACACTATAATCTGGACATAGCTTCAGCTTTGCATCTGAGAATTTGTAGATAATCTACTTGTTTTTCAAATGAGACTATTTATAGGCAGGCAAACAAATGTTTTCACAAAGTTATTGTTAGTCTACAGCCATCTGACCGCAGTAAAAATATAGAATTGTAATCTGTCTCAGAAGCCATTCAATCGTTTTTCAAATAGACGATCTGTCTTTTTATGCTTCCTCCTCCTTTGTTTGTGACTTTTCGAAATGTGTAGCCTTGAGCTTTTTCCTCTGGAAGGACTATATCTCGAAAATAACGATACTACAAACTTTGAGAAACTATGAATGGATTCACATTTATCAACTCCAAAGTCATTTGATCAAGCTTGAAACACAGAGTTATTTTCGTAAAATAAGTTTCTTTGGAGCGAAAAATTAAACTGACACATTTTCCATTACCCAATAAGATACCTTGTCAGTAACAATAATGCGCCGTCTTAGCCCTCTAACCAAATAAAAAGCTCTTAACAATTGCCAGGAACCATCATATAGCTATACAGGTCATATTGTAACAATGGAGTATGATCACGATGTTCAACATTAGAAATCAATCATCACTCAACTCATCAGATGATAACTTTTAATAAACAGGCATTGTCCTATTCATTGTGTAATCTCGAGTATTCGTAGAAAGACTTGTTATATTCTAATTATTGTAGTTGTTAATTAGCAATGCGTGATATTCATGACGCGATGACAAGAGTTTTGCAACACAGAGATACTGACATTCATTTGATTTAGAAACGTTCCGAAACTTTCATCCTTATATTCTAATTGTAGCTCATAGTCCTCGAAGAACCAGTACGAGAGAAACGAAAGCGGGTTTTAACTTGTAGTTAGGAGCAGTTCATAGTTCGTTTTGTCATTATGTTAGCTGCTGTCTCTGTTTTTCCTCAATCACTATGAGTTTCGCGAGACTCAACACGGTTCCATTGAAAAGTGCTGGTTCTCATTCAGATTTGTTTGTAATCATCTGACAATTTCCGATAGAAAATCATCAGAATTATCGAAATCTGATATGATCCATTAGGGATAACTGAATCATAGTTACTGATCAGTCCTTATTTCTTTGTTTTTACGTTACTTAGTCCCAAAATGTCAACTTAATTTTAAAGCAACGGCTCGAAATCCAATTGAATATAACTATGACCCACGGGCTGTCGCCATGGGCGACTTCAACAACGATACTTGGCTAGATATTGCTGTTGCTAATTATGCTGCTGACAATATAGCTCTATATTTTGGATATGGCGATGGTACCGTGGCAAGCCCAATCACGTTTTTCACTGGTATTGGCTCTGCTCCATGCGCGGTCGCTGTTGGTGATTTCGATAATGATAGTCGAATAGATGTCGCCGTCGCAAATTTTGGTACAAACAGTGTCGGCGTATTTCTTAAATTCCAAAATAGGTCTTTTGTGAACAAAACAGATATATCAACTGCATCATCTCGTCCTGTTTGGATTCATGTAATAGATCTCAACAATGACGCAGTATTAGATATTGTTACTGCTAACGACGGCACACACAGTGTTAGCATATTTTATGGATATGGGAATGCAAGCTTTTCAAATCCAAGCACGTATCCTACAGGCTATGATTCTTTCCCGTTAGCGGTTGTTAGTGGCGATTTCAACAACGACAAGCAGATGGATCTTGCTGTCACCAATTATGGCACCAATAATGTCGGTATATTCCTTGGAACTAGTAACGATTCTTTTGCAAAGCAAAACACGTTCTCAACTGGTGTCAATTCCCATCCATATTCGCTTGCCGTTGGTCATTTAAACGAAGATACTATTCTAGATATTGCCGTCACCAACTATGGAAATAATAGTGTGGGTGTACTTCTGGGCCATGGTGATGGGACTTTTCTGAGCCAAATGACATATTCGCTCGGTGTTGCTTCTCCATATGCTGTTGGCATTGGTGACTTCAACAACGACAATAGAATGGATTTAGTTGTCACCAATAATGGCACTCACAATGTTGCTGTATTTCTGGGATATGGTAATGGCTCTTTTCTAAGCCCAACAATGTATTCAACTGGGTCTTCCTCTTCGATCTCTGTTGCCATAGGTGATTTGAACAGAGACCAACGTGCCGACATTGTAGTCATCAACAATGATACGAACAGCATAAGTATTCTACTTGGCTATTATGAGGTCTCTTTTGAAAATCAAACGACATATTCAACTGGCTCTCAGTCAGTCTTTGCAGCTGTTGGTGATTTTAACAACGATACCCAACTGGATATTATTCTCGCTAATTTGCACGAAAACACAATAGGTTTACTCTTCGGATATGGCAATGGTTCTTTTTCAAATCAGACGAAATATTCAACTGGCTCACAGCCGTCTTTTGTAGCTGTTGGTGATCTCAACAACGACAGCCAACTAGATATTGTCATCGCTAACTTGGGTGATGTTACTATAAGTGTACTTCTCGGATACGGCAATGGCTCTTTTGAAAATCAAGCGACATATTTAACTGGATCAGGTCAATCTTCTGTAGCCCTTGGTGATTTTAACAACGATAGCCGATTCGATATTATCATTACTAATTATTATGACAACAATGTTGGTGTACTTCTCGGATATGGCAACGGATCTTTTGCTAATCAAATGACATATTCAACTGGGGATGGGCCAGTGTCTATAGCTGTTGGTGATTTGAATAGCGATACTCAATTAGATATCGTCCTTGCTAACGATAAGGACAACACTATAAGTATACTTCTCGGACACGGCAATGGATCTTTTGCAAATCAAGTGAAATATTCAATTGACGCTTGGCCATCTTCTCTAGCTGTTGGTGATTTTAATAACGACGCCCAGTTGGATATAGTCGTTACTAATGGGTATCACTTGACTGTTACTGTACTTCTCGGATATGGCAACGGATCTTTTGCAAATCAAACGACATATTCAACTGGCGACCAACCGTTCTTTGTAGCTCTTGCTGATTTCAATAACGACACTCAATTGGATATCATTGTCACTAATATTTTGGATCGTGATATAAGTGTGTTACTCGGCTACGGCAATGGATCGTTTGCCGATCAAATGAGATGGTCAACTGGCTCATGGCCATCGTCTGTAGTTGTTGGTGATTTTAATAACGACAGACAACTAGATGTCGTCGTCACTAATCAGCTTGCCAGTACTTTAAGTGTACTGCTTCGTTATGACCGAGGAGCTCTAAAAGATAAAATCGAATTTGCCTCTGAAGCTGGTAGTCGCTTGCAAAATGTTGTCGTTTTTGATTTAAATAACGACAGTCTACTGGATATTATTGTTGCCAACTATGGTACGAATAACATAGGTGTCATATTAGGACAAGCAAATGGTACTTTTTCAAACCAAACGGTATTTCCAACAGGCTTAAATTCTTCTCCGTACTCAATCGCTATCGATGATTTTAGTCAAGACGGTCATGCAGATATTGTAGTTGCTAATCATGGCTCTAAAAACATTGATATATTTCTGGGAAATGGTAACGGAACGTTTAGAAGTCAACCAAGTGATAGCATTGATACTGGCTTCGCTCCATCAAGTATTGCGACTGGTGATTTCAACAATGACGGACATCCAGAAATTGTTGTCGCATATGATGGCCTTGATTATGTAGATGTGTTTGCTACCTTGGAAATCGTCGATTTTCCTGATAGAAGGAAATATTCCACAGGCTCCTGGCCTCTCTCTGTAGCTGTTGCTGATTTCAATAACGACAGTCAGCTGGATATCATCGTCCCTAATTGGGGAAGCAACACTCTTAGTGTACTTCTGGGATATGGTAATGGGTCTTTCGCCGAACAACTAACATACTCAACTGGCTCTCAGCCAGTCTTTGCAGCTGTTGGTGATTTTAACAATGATAATCGACTAGATATCGTCGTCGTTAACCGTCAGGAAGACACAATAAGTGTACTTCTCGGATATGGGAACGGGTCTTTTGCAAATCAAATGAAACATTCAACTGACGTACGGCCATCTTCTGTAGTTGTTGATGATTTCAATAACGACAACCGGTTGGATATAGTCGTTACTAATTTGTATGGCAGTACTGTAAGTGTACTTCTTGGAAATGGAAATGGTTCTTTTGAAAATCAAACAAGATATTTAACTGGCTTGGGACCAGACTCTATAGCTGTTGGTGATTTTAATAACGATGCTCAACTGGATATCGTCGTCACTAATTTGTATAATAATACTATAAGTGTACTTCTTGGATATGGTAATGGGTCTTTTGCAAATCAAATGAAATATTCCACTGACGATACCCCATACTCCGTAGCGGTTGGTGACTTTAATAACGACAGTCAACTGGATATTGTGGTTTGTAATCATGACACCAGCAGTGTTAGCGTTCTTCTCGGATATGGCGATGGCACTTTTGCAAATCAAACGAAATATTCAACTGGTGTTTCTCCAACCTTTGTAACTGTCGATGATATTAATAGTGATACTCATTTGGATATCATTGTCGTTAATCGTGGTGACAAGTCTATTAGTGTATTTCTTGGATATGGCAGCGGGTCTTTTGCCAATCAAATGAAATTTTCAACTGGCACTGGGTCATTATGGGTAGCTATTGGCGACTTTAATAACGATACTCAACGGGATATCGTCATCTCTAATGATGATGGCACCACTGTAAGTGTACTACTCGGATATCATTATAAACGCTTTGTGAAACAAATGACACTCATAACTGGCAAAGAGTCTCGACCAAGGTCATTCGTCGTTGAGGATTTTAACAATGACAGTCAAGCAGATATAGGAGTCACAAATTCTGGCACTAAAAGCATGGGTATTTTTCTGGGACATGGCAATTACTCTTTCACAGATCAAATGACATTTTTAACTGGCTCTACTCCTGTCTCTGCAGCAGTTGGCGATTTCAACCAGGATACAATATTGGATATCGCCATCGCTAATCACGGCGATGACAATGTTGTTGTATTTCTTGGATACGGCAATGGCTCTTTTTCAAGCCAAAAAACATTTACAACCGGCGATAAATCTCAACCCAACGCAGTCTCAGTTGGAGATTTCAATAATGACAGTTTACTAGATATTGTCGTAGCCAATTATGGCACCAACACGCTAGGTATATTACTTGGATATGGTAATGGGTCCTTTGCAGATGTAAACCTGTTATTGCTCGGCTATGGATCTCTTCCGTTCTCCATTTCCGTTGGTGATTTTAACAATGACGGAAAGCAGGATTTTGCAGTAGCCAACAAAGATACTGACAATGTTGAAGTTCTATTACAGATTTGTTGATGCTGCAGTTTCTACCATGAACCTTTCTTTTCCTTTGCTTTATTTTTTCTAACTTTTATTGATTCATACTTACATTTATTTTAAGTTTTTGTACTGTTCATTTCTTGATTTTCGTGCTCATATAAGATGTGATGAAGATTGATATTCTCAATGGATGTGACTGCGGATGTGTAGAATTATCATAATAATAAGTAGTATTGCGATTTTTCATAATCTTATCAAATGGCATGCATTCATATGAATGATTCAAAAGTTTAAACCCAATACAAAATTTTGACGAGGGAGATATCTCAACTGTTTAAAAGCTTTTGACTCCATCTTTTGGCTATAAGTAGGTTTCAGTCAGACTAAGAAAACCCTAAAAGGCTTCGTGCCCATGATTCTTCCTTCCCGAGGGTGGGTGTGGGTGTGTGGGTGGGTGAGGTGTGGGTCTGGATGTAGCTGTGGGTGTGGGTGGGTGTGGATGTGTGGGTGTGGTGAGCTGTGGGTGTGGTGAGGTGTGGGTGTGGGTAGTTGTGAGAGTGAAGAATAAATTGTCCACCCTCACACCCAAACCACACCCCAAAACAAATAAACGACCATGAACATTTCATCATTTAAATGAGATCAA